AGCTGACTCCCATTACAGGATTGGGGTGCAGCACAGCAGCTCGCAGAGTAGGCCCTCTGCATGTTTGCAGAACCAAGTCTTAAGGCATTACCTGGGACCCTAAAGCTGGGGCAACAGGCTAAAAAAAAAAATCTGTCTTCACCACCACCCTTCACTAAGCGACTGGAGCGGAATGAACTCAGTAACGTTCTCCTAAAGATGCTTGGGGTGGGGGATAGGGGAAAGAAAGCATATACAAATTCTACAGGGCTACAGAGCCGGTTTGAGCATGGCTTCCCCCATGTTCACGGAAGACTTCACTCCCCGTCTACATGACAGATTATCTCGAAACAACAACCGTAAGTCTGTGCACGTCTCTGCCCAAAGGTTTTTTTTCACACTAAGAATTTAATAAGAGGGTAGGAGGGCATTACCACGGCACCTTACACTGCTTCAATGAGTCATTTTAATGACGGGTTGCTCTTCTTACCCTCTTATCCAATGAAATAATGGATGCGGAAAACTCTGAAACTTATACCGCCATCTACAAGCAGGATACCTAAGCTAGGAATACCTATTTGCAGAAAAACGCGCCCCCAGAACGCGGCCGGTCCTTGGGAAGCTCGAGGGGCCTTGGCCAGCGCAGCTCCCAGCTCAGCCCCGGCCCCTCGGGCCCGTCGCGTGAGGCAGCGGTTGATAACCCGCAGGCTGGCCGTTTTGATTTATAGAGAAGGGAGTGAAAGGCCCGCTGGCTCAGACACCACGCGGAGCCAGAGCACAGCTCGTACCGCAGTTGAAGAAACCGCTCTCAGGCTAGACGGAGGCGGAGCAACAGCGCAGGCTGAGCCAACTGAAGAGCCTTAAAATGCCTGGAGCACTTCACGGACAGCCCCCCAGCGAAAGGCACTCTGGGGTTTGTAGTTTACTTCCCGGACAGCGTTTTCCCCGCTCCACCTTGTTTCCCTGCCTTTTAACCTCGCCTTCATTCTCCCTCTCCCCACCCAGCACGCCGACTTCCTGGTCGCCGCACTTCCTCACGTACGACTACACTACCCAGAAATCTCTTCTTCGAGTCCCAGGGCGGTGCGGGCGCCGGCCGTCTTCTTTGGACTACAGTTCCCAGAAGTCCTCTGGAGAAGTGCTTCCCTCTCTCGTTTCCAGGACCACAATTCCCGGAGACTACAGCTTCCCGACGGTTGTCTTTTTACTTGATCTTTTCTTGAGCTGGCTGGGCTTCAGCCGGCCAGCAGGCGCACAGTGACAATGTGATCCCTCGTGACCGGGCACAGGGTTTCCTCTGCGGCCCGTTTTCCTCCTTACTCAGTTATCCCCTTTGCAGGCCGTCGCGGCTGGCCTGAGCGGTGACCTGGCGGGCCGCGCCTGCGCTCTGCCCATTTCCTGCCTGGCTGGTGGCGGCGGCCATTTTGTTCATCCTCCTCCTCCTCCTGCTCCTCCTGGTTGGAGCGCAGTGTCCGGAGTGGGCTGGGGGGAGAGACCCCGAGTGCAGGGTTCGGTGCCTTTTCCTCTGCCCCCAGCTGGTGCCCGGAGCCCCCTCCCCTTCCTCCCCGCCCCCTCCCCTCCCCAGCCCTGCCCTCCCCCTTGTCCCGGGATCGCTCCGTCGCACCCACCATGATGGAAGACGACGGGCAGCCCCGGACTCTGTGAGTACCCGAGATGGGGGGTGCCAGGCGCCGAGAGGCCCGGGCACCGCGGAACGCTGTGGGAGGGAGCAGGAGAGCGGGGCCGAAGCTGGAGCTCTCGGCGCCTCCCTGGCCGGGGTGGTGCGGACGCCTAGTGCATTCCTCATCTGTCCCCTTTTCCTTGGGAAGGAAGCCCTCCCTTCTCCCACAGTCACTTCCTGGGGCCTGGGTCTTGTTTCGACCTTTTCCTCTCGCGCCTTTCTTTGCACACCTTTCTTAGGCCGGGTTTCTGCACAGCAGAGGCTGTCAGGCCCGGGGGAGCTCCTGCTCTCCCTCTGCTTTGGGGGCCCTAGGCTGGGCCGGGAGCTGTCCCCACAGGGGCAGGGCCTGGTGGAGGTGGGACTGGGGGTGGGACCGCAGAAGCATCCCCTGCGGGCCCCGAGGAATTAGCACTCACTCCCTCCACCTTCCCAGCTCCAGTCGCTCCCGGCTTTCTCTCCCAAGGTAAGCCCTCGGAGGAAGCCGAACACGCTTGCCGCTTAAGCCCCTACTCTCTTCTGCCCCACGTGCCCCCTCCCACGCTGTCAGAAACACACTCCAAGCGCCTGCTACTTTTGAAGTGCAAAAGGGATGTCTCTTGCCGCTGGAGCATCTTTCTCTTCTGGGATAACGAACTTTACTTGGAGCACTACCTACGCTAACATGACAGCCCGTTAAACTGCTTGTGTCTTTTTCATGTTACCTCTTTTTAATCTGTGCGCCGAGACCTTCAGAGTTGGATACAATGATGCCTGTATCCGCTATTCGATGTGTGTCTTGAGCGATCGCTCTTCTGCCTTGCTGTTGCTTTTTACCTGAAGCCCAATCTAATGAATGGATTTCATCTTCCACCCGCTTATTCGCGTTTCCTTCCTAATGAAGAGTGATGACTCAGCATTTGCATTCCTTTCCGGATAGTGTAGCACTACTTTCTTTTTCCTGCATTTAAAAAAAAAAAAAAAGTCTGAGGAATTTCTACTTAAATGTTTAAGTTTAGCACTTTCGGCTTTCCTAACCTCTGGAAGCTCAACACACCTACCTCGAGTCCAAGGAGTTAAATCACTGCTCTTGTTTTCTCTTGCCTCTGCTTGGTATTGATATGATCGTAGTTCACTTGGCTCAGCTATCTGGTGGGGAAATTGCTTTCTGGGGAATACATGAAGGTGGATGGGTACTCAGGAAGTTTGTCTACCGTTCATCTCTTTAGGCCTACCAAGGAAAGTCCGCTCAGTAAAGCAGATAGGTATCTGTTTCATATTGGTACAGGTTTGGTTTTTTGTTATTGTTTAGTTTGTTTTGGGGGGAGGGCTTGCACTTTTTTATTCCTGTTTCTCTGATGTCTCACTAAAGTATTTACCATCCCATTTTGAGAATTTGAGGCCAACTTCTGCGCATCAAATGTTTGAATGAAAAGCCTGCTTAGTGAACCTTTTGTATTTTGTGCTGTCTTCCATTTTGGCCTTCTGTTTCCAGAAAAGAGGGAGTCGGGACAAACTTGAAACTTGTCCTTTAACAGCTGTTGAAGCCAAGGCTTGGTATTTAGTTAGCATGTGTACTTTGATGGAAGCATCTGGGAAAGGTGTGTTAGAGCCTAGCTAGCATGTAGTTAACAAAGATAAAAGTTACACTGTTATCTAAACATCTGAAATGTCATCATTGCATCATAATAGTTGAATAATGGGTAAATTCCCCTAGCGTATTTCTCATTAACTGTATTTATCTGTTCCTGATGAAGAGAAGTTACTGTTTTTGCTGTGCTAAATAATATGCTATTTCAATACCTTTAATTCATATATAACTATCATTGTTTCAGCTGAGTCTTCATCTCCATGTGTTAGACTTTGGCCAATAGATTAGTAAGCTAACTACTTTGTCACTTGTTTCTTACCTCCATCTTCTCTAATCTCCTGTTCTTTTTCTGAAACACTTAAGTTGTCTATATATACAGTTGTCTAAAAATGTGACACGTATACATATGAGTAAGGAAACATCTTGAACTTTGGTGTACCTGTATGTCAGTACATGCTTACTATTCTGTCTTCCTTTTTCCTTCTCCCTGTCTTCTCATGGGAAGGGTTGTGTTTTTTTTTTTTTAGACAAGGAGTGGTACATCTTCCTAGGTCTTACCCCTGCAGCACTTAGTTCTGCCTGGAACATAAGAGGTACTCAAACATTTTACAATGATTATACTTCTTTTCATTAAAAGTATTAAGTCCTTTTTTTTTTTTAAGTCTTGATTGATTTAAAATTATAGGCAGACATGATGCCGAAAATGGTGCAATCTGTGGATTTTAAATATTTTTTAAAACCTTCAAATGCAAAATTTTGAGATAAAAACATGTTTCACAATTGGGATTGTTGGCCAGATTTTAATAAATAATGCATAGTAGCTTTTTTAAGTGTTCGTTTTACATATTTCTCAAAAGATTCGTTATAGATACGAGTAACGTGATGAAAACTTTGAACATGACTTTAATGGTTGATAGCTAGCAGTATTTTATTTTGTTAGTTTATTTATGGAGGTCCTTTTATTTTATTGTGATCTGTGGATTAGGCTTTCAAGTGGCTAATACGTTTTAAAAGAATTTACTCTTCACAAAGCTTATCTTAAAACTGTTTCCTTAAAATGCCTGTGTGTTACTAGTGAGGTTTTTTTCCTGCCGACACACACAAGCTAAGACATATGGTTCTATCATCAGAAAACAATATGGTGTTTATAGCCTAGGTAGGTCTTTAAATATTCATTACTTACAGTATTACTAATTTATTTGGTGGTATTTAAAGTAGTATACAATTGCTTTGATATTGAGCCTAAAGTTTATTTGTCATGTAGTTGCTTTAAAGATCTGTTCTCTGATGCTCTCCATTCTCATTTGACATTTATTTGGGGGTAATATGTATTGGGTAACTGGTGATCTAAAAAAGCAAACAAAGGAGAGCATGCTGTAATACTGGTGTTGGAACAGGGCTGCCTGACACCTACCTTGCAGGACACACGTTTTAGACTGGTGGTGTTGGTAACTTTGAGTGCAGTGATTAGATCCACGGTATATCTGAATCTATAATACAACATTAAATTATAACTGTGTTCTAATGTAGTTTGTTTTCTTCACCTATCCGATGCACCCAAATGAGTAGGAATTGTGGATCTGGGATTATACCTTGTTATGCAATGCCATCCTTTAAGGCTGTTCTTTCTGATACTCAGTCAAAAGGAGGAAATAAACCAGTGATTTAGAGTATAATCTGAACAGCTAAGGGCAATAGCAGAAGAAAATACTATTAAATCCCATTATAAAATTGACTAGCTTATACCATGGATGTGGCTTTATTGTGGCTGTAATTAAGCCTTTCGTTCAACTTACTCATATTTTCTGTTTCTTTAAAATGTATGTGTATGTGTGTCAATATCCCTTATGTAGTTGGTCAGTTTACTTCTACCGCCTGCACCTTTCCTCCGCCCTGCCTCCTTCGTACCATGAAACGTTGACCAATCGATTAATTCATTAGAGGCCCATTGAAGGGTATTGTTGCAGAATCTCCTCTTATATAGGAACTTGTCAAGAGCAAAAGCAAACATGTTACTTTCATATAAATTTGGCTACAGTGCCTTGTGTAAAAGTGCTGGTAATTTCAGCCTTGGTAAGGCTCCTCTTTTCAGAGTGCGAGCACATTCCATGTTGGAAAAGTGTGATTAAGCCTCCTGAAAGGCATGATATTCTTTACTTAAAATTCTGCCCAGTTGGACATGGGAAGTACTTTGGCAATGTGAACTTTTGCTTACTGTGTCACTGCCAAGTTTCTAGTCTCAAATTGGATTTTAACCCTGATGTTTAGGGATAAAGGCATTAGTTTCCATTTTTAATGCTTTAGTTTCTGCAGTTCCTGTTCTTAGAAGACAAAATAGACCTAAAGTATGCCTTTCTTTCTTTCTTTTTTATTTTTTATTTTTACTTGAGTTAAAAAATCTTTTTGGAATTTCCTAAATGTTTACTCTTTTACTTGACCTCTCAGCACAAGAATTTGAGCCGTTTGTCTTTTTCTGTTATTTTTATATATATGTTCTTCAAGTAGAAATTTTATATTTAAACACTTGAACTTTAGAATATGTTGACTGCTTCATAACCAGAGCAGAAAGAAAGTGAAGTGTAGAAACTATAATTTAGAAAGAAAAAAGGTTAATCATTTCACTATCGTAAGAGATGATATTCTAACCTGGTCAGTGTTGAACATTTTATATATTTTATATAATCTTAAGTATTTTTTAGTATTTACTTGGGGATAGATAAGTTTTATGATAATGTAAAGCTACTTAAGCTATGCAGTACAGTATTTTTAAAGCTGTAAAATGTTTCTCTGTATTATAATGAAGGCATATGTAAATGAATGAATTGTAGAACTCTTAGTAAAGTAAAAGGCAATCTGAGTTTTGAGTAAAATTTGGGTGGGATTATGTAGTGAATTACATCCTTTTTACCCCTGTAAATTAAGATGTTCTACATGTTGTTGTTAATGGCCTTTTTTATATTAGTTTTGGGAGTTTAATTTGCTGCTTTACCACTGAACTTACAGTGGAGACATTTTTCAAAATAGGAAACTTTAAAATTAGGGGTTTTTTAAATAAGTATTTCATGACGTAAATTTAGATTAACATTTTACTCTTTGGTGTCAGTGCTTGAAATGTAAAAGTTAACGTATCTAAATTCTTCAAAATCTATAAGGGATTGGAAATAGGTTGATTTGGAATAAAAACTGAATGCAGTAGTAACAGCTTTCATTGTGACTGTTAGGTTTGGAATGTAATTAATGCCTATGCAGTTTTTCCTGAACAAATCAGTGTTTCAAACAGTAGTACAAATTTAAAACTATTTAAAATTTGTTATATTAAAATGGTCATTCTATTTTAATTTTGTTACTAGTTTTAATATGTGAAAATCAGTTTTATCCACTCCTATTCTCTTAAAAATGAGCTAACTAGCACTTTAGGTTAGATGAGGGTAACACTTAGCAGACCAGGGTTACTTCTTTATTTTCTTTTCTTTATAGGTAGGTCTACCTTGTACAAAAAGAAATTATTCCAAGCGTGCATACTCTCAAGCCCCTATGAATTAAAAAGGGACAGGCAGTGGTCTGGCTAGCTCATAATCCTATAACCTTTCACTACTGTGGGAAAAAGTATGTCACTGCGTGGCCTACCAATGGGCCTGTTCTACTTTAATTCTAAGGAAAAGAAGGCATAGGTGGACCTAAACCAATTTATCACGGTTTGGTCTTCTATTTAAGTAACATTGGACTTGTGTTTCAGTTTTAGAGCATGTAAGTGAAAGGTATTAGCGCCCATTGCAGTGAAATTCTTAGCTGAACTGGAAAATTGCTGTTCATTTCTAATCAGATAATTTTCTTTTTTATATGTAACCTTACCTTTCTCAGTCTGTTTTTCCCTTTCAGAGTGTTTCATCTCAAAGCAGTTATGTATTTAATATGGTAATAGATGCAAGGCTTATTTTGGTCTCCGTACTCAGTTTCCAGATGTTCTGTATTAGGAAAATAAAACTTCTGTCCATTTACTTTCCAGAAGAAACTATATTAATTTTTATATTTGTTTGCTTTATGAGTTCCATAACGGGCAAATTTTAGGAATTATACACTGAGTATCAGAAAGACTTAAAAAGTTTGACAGTTTATTAAGCTAAATTAAAATAAATCCATGGTACAAGAGAAGCCAAGTTGGTCATCTCTGGGTGGTTGGTGGTCTTTTGTTATTTTTTTTAATTTATCTTTATTCAGGCTAGGAAGTTTTATTATTTTACCCTGCTCCTAAAACAAAACAAATGAAGACAGCATTAATAACAATTTAATAAGACAAAACAAAACCCTCCAATCTCTGTGTGTTTTGCTGTAACTTTAATTCTGTTTTTCATTCATGTAATTGCTTTAGTTGGGGGTCCAAAATAAACTCACCTTATGTATAATACCCTTTGTGATCAAATGCTTTAATGAATCAGTATTTGTGGTATTATTTGTGCGTGTGCGTGTGCGTGTGTGTGTGTGTGTGTGTGTGTGTGTGTGAGAGAGAGAGAAAGAGAGAGAGAGAGAGATTATTTTGAATTGTGTTTCACATCTATACATTGTAGTTATGTTGAGATTGGTCTAAATTTTTTATTATTTTGATTCTAACAACATGAGAAAATCATATATAGTGTACAGAATAATATGCAACGCCACTTCAATTTGTTCTTTATGAAGCCTTTTGAAGTGGTACTTTAGTGGCCTAAGAACATTTGTTTCTTTCCTAAATAAGGATTACTCTTACTTTCTATAGGATCAGGCTTATTGGAAAATTTTTATTGAAGACAGGAAGTTAAAATGAACAAAAAGGTGATGAATTAATTGATAACACATTAGAGCCACAGCGGAAAGAAAATTGCTGATGTTTGTTTCTTCTTCTTGTCCAGATACGTAGGTAACCTCTCCAGAGATGTGACGGAAGTCCTTATACTTCAATTATTCAGTCAGATTGGACCCTGTAAAAGCTGTAAAATGATAACAGAGGTAAGATCTTCCCAGTTCCATGTGCTGACAGCATGTTTAACATTTTGAGGTACATGAGTTAATTAGTATGATTTTAAAATAACATTCCAAGCCTCACGTTATTCTGATGGAGAGACTCATGTTTGTTGTGTCTCCTTATTACGTTGGTCTGGCTGACAAACTGGCTACGGAATGGAGTTTTATTTTCAAGGACAAAGTTCCTGTGCTATTATTCTCAAATGGCCATTCTTCATGAGGTAGTTACGTTCAGGTGATTCTGCTTGTAAAAAGGTGTTGCAGCTTATCCCAGTCTGTTCGAAAACTAGATGATATTTCATACAATTCCAATAAGAACGTTACCGATTCAGATCGTATGTATTTCAAGTTTCGGAATTGGTGTATGTGAAAGAGCATAGTTATGTGTCAAGTGCAGCAGCATGCATCTTGTGTGTTTTTAATAAATACCAATAACTGAGCAGCTTTTTGTAGATAGGAATTTAAATTGTTAGGGTAATAATTCTGTTTTTCTTTTTTTTGTTTTTTTCAAAGAATACTACTTTTTATACTTTCCTGGTTAAGACTGTAGCAGTGCCCAATGACTTGTGTTTCAGTTTGTTCTCTTCTCCCTTTTTGTTTATTCATCAAATTTTTTTGGTAGTAGTTACCATGTACCAGGCATTATGGTAAGTGCTAGTAGGGGTGCAGTGGTGAATACGGCAGTTCCTGGCCCCATAGAATTGTGCAGTCTGATGAGGGAGACAGCAGAGTTAACAGGCACCAACATGGATCTAACAGGCACTGACAGGATCCAGGATGATAAACGCTACGGAAGCACTTCCAAGTGTCCTGGGAGCCCGTGGACCCCAGTCCAGTCTTAGGCCTGGAGAGGCTTCTTGGAGGAGTCAGTGTCTAGGCTGAAACTGAAAAGGATAGTGATGGGAACTGTCTGGAAAGGAATTGGAGGAAGAAGGGATTCCAGGTAGAGAAAGGAATGTGGACCCAGTCTGGCAGACAGAGGGAGTGCTTGTGAGAAAAGGGGAAGGACAGTTAGAAATAGCACAGTGGCGTTTCGGATGGGACTAGTCACAGAGATGCCGGGAAATGATGCAGGAGTGCTTGGTAGGGGCCAGAAGCTGCGCGAAGGAGTGTGTGTAAGACCCTGAGACAGAGGGCGACTGTTCAAAATCTGTAAAGCAAATGGGCCTTTTGACTTTCTTTCCTAACTAATGATAATCATCAGTCCTGGTATATTTTCTCTCCTTCCTGTCTCGGATTATTATTCGTTCCTTCTTTCAGTAATCAGAATTTACTTTGTGCTGGGCACTGTTTAAAGCACTGGAACTATGAAGAGAGGAAAACAGTTCTGTGATGAAAGTCGGAGGGCTGGTGCTATGCGGGCTAAGTAGTGAGGGAAGATGTCACCTCTGGGGGCTGAGACAGGAGTAACATGATGGTGCCATCTCGGTTAAGAGCTGAGCAGAGGGCATGGCACAGGCAGGGGCCTGGAGTTGGTCATGAGCTTGTTGTGTTTGTGGAACCAAAGCCCAGGCTGGCTGAGCCTGCGGAGTGGAGGCACCTGGTGGGAAATATGTCTAATGAGGCGGGAGGGGAGCGGGCGGGGTTTGGAGTCACATAGGGCAGAACGGGCCATGGCAGAGAGTTGGGAGTTCACTCTGGCCGCTGTGGGGTTTTAAGGAGGGTAATTGTACTCTGATTCACATTTTTAAGATTGCTTGTATTTGGAGAATGACTGTTGTGTGGAGAATGGATTGTAGGGGGCAAGAGTGGACGGAGGGAAACCAGCTGGGTTTATTTCAGTAGTCTAAGTAAAAGATGATGTGGACCTGTTCTCTAGAGTGGTAGCCGAAGAAATAGAGGTAGATAAATTTGGGATATAATAGGAGGTAGAACCAATAGGACTGGATTGGCTGTGGGACATAAGGGGAAAGAAGACATCAAGAATGACCCTAACATTCTTGTTTGTGCAGTTGTGTGGATGGTAATGCTATTTACTTGCTAACATGGGTATGGCAGGGGGAGGCATAGAAGGAGTGGTGGGAATTGGAGCCCTGTTTTAGCGTTGCTAAATTTCAGATGTGCACTAGGCAGCTAAGTGGACATGCTATGTAGGCATTTGGATCAACTAGTTCGGAGCTCTGAAGAGACCAGTGCTGGTGATAGCAGCTTGTAGTAGTATTTGAAACAGTGGAACTAGATGAGATCTATTATAGTTCTTAGATCTAGAGAGTAGAGGGGCCCTGGAGCACCTCAACACTTAGAGTGGCACTTAGAGCTTGAGTTAAGGAGGAAGAACTACCTTCTGAAAGCTCCTCCAGCCGGAAAACAGGAAAACCAAGAGAGCACGGTGGAATCTAAAGGAGACTATTTAGAGGAGGAGTGTTGTCAGCTGTTTTGAATTCTGTTTGAAAGCCAAGATGAGGATAGAAAAGGGACCACAGAGGTGCAGAGAGGTCATTGTTAAGTTCAACCTGAAGTTTCAATAGCCTGGTTGGATTAGAAGCAGACTGGAATGGGTTTAGGAGAGAACAGGATATGAGAAAATGGAGTCACTAGAAAATTTTTGGGAAACATTTGATAAAGATTTAAAGTGTTTTTTTTTTTTAAAAAACCTGTGCATGTACACGCCATTTGAGGGTAGAGGAATTAGAAGTGAATTTTCATAATTGATCCATATTCTACAACTTCTGCACTTGGACTTGTAAATAGTTGTAAGATCTCATATTTCTCTGTCTTGACCTTTATGTCATCCAACAAAAATTGGCGCCAACAGTAGTTTACGTAAGGACACAGTTGAATGTTTGTGTCACTTGGTGGTGGTGTAAATGGGAAGCTTCCAAAGGGCATGGACTCGAGTACAGGCTGTCGAGGCATTTGTTTTCCTTTCGTGCATTTCATTTCAGTGTATGAAAAACCCTTTCTTCCCCTTAGTTTTATGATTTGTTACTTGAGGTATTGTTTAGTTTAGATTCTAGCTTTCCCTATATACTACAATAAACGTATATTATCGATTCTAAGGCAAACGTTAAAAAGATTTGAATACCTCTGACAGCTGGGATGTGACAGAAATCTGGTGTCTTAGATGAAATGCAGGGTGATGTGAATGTGTGTATGCGCGCGCGCACACATGGATACATTGAATTGGGCCTGTGCACTACTACTTAGGGAAACTTGAAGTCAGTGTGCATGAGTAGACCAGGTCACTAAGAGCCTGTTATTATGTATCTACCACTGGACTACCGTATGTTTTGCTACAATTATCAGTGTTTCTCAAAGACCAGCAGGGCAGAAGAGGAGGACTAAAAGGAGAAATTGACTAGCACAGTTTTAGTTTATTATTTACTTTTAAAGCGCTTTCTTCAATGAATGTTACTAGTAAATGTTAACTTTTTTGCAAGCGGAATTTAAGTGCGTATTTTTATTTGGAGTCATTTCCCCCATTTTCTTTCTCTACCTCCTAAGAAACAGCGTTCATGTGACTGGGACAATAGGATTTTGTATGGGAGCCCATCGTTTTCATGTCAGTATTAATGATCACGCTTTTTTTCCCCTCAAGGAAATGCCTCTGGTTGCTTCGCCACTATTGTTTTAGACGTCTTATTTTGGATTTTTCTTCTAAAACTTTCCTGGAATGAAAAACAGTGGTTGTTGAAAAGATCTTTATTTTATCTGGTATTTTTATCCTTTGTAAGTGCAACTAGAATTCCACATTTTAAATATTATTTTTTTAGGGTATTTTACACTGAACAGTGATGAATGTTTTTAATCTTATGTAAAAAGTACATTTGTACAGTTGTGTAGCTCTCCAATATTGGTTGCAATTTTATAAATTTGATTTCCACTTTGGTCGTTAGGTGGTAGAGTTGCTATAACTTAGGTAGTACCACTTTCTCACCGTCTTTATAAGTATCTATTTGCCAACTACTGTTAAGCATAATGATGTAGAATATATTTAATAAAGATTTATTAGCAGTGTTTTTGTGATATAAAATTGTAGCTTTGTCCTGGAATATTTTATTTAGACTCATTTTCAGAAACTTTTTTCTTTATCGCTAATAATTTTTCTGGTCTTTGAAAGCCAAATTCAAAGTACATAGAATCACCTCCAGTACAGTAGCATATTTTGAAAGATAGGGAATTAATTTCAATAGCTGGTTATAAATCTGAAATTTTCTATTTTTATTCTAATTTCTTCCTTATCTAGAAAAAAATACACGGTCTCGTCTCATCATATGTAGTGCTAATACTAGCTTTGACTGGGAGTAAAGTTTGTAAAGTCGGTTCATTTCTGTATTTTTTATAGTTGTGGGATACAGTTAATGAAGGACTATGATGCATAAATAGAGTTCATCCTTTTGAAAATAATGTTGGGAGAGAAGAGCAGTGGTAAGGAAGCGGTCCTTATCTATCACATCTGAGCCTGAGGTTCTGTCTGGTCTGATGTAATCTTCTATTTTATGTTTATCACACTTCACCAGAACTCTGTATTTTGATTTAATACTGAGAGTCATGCTTCTGTACTGCTTTGATAGTTCTGTTAGAATACAACACTGTTCTGAGGTGCAAAGCCAGGTGTAGCTATAAGTCTTATTTTTGAAGTATTAGGCTTTCGTAAGCTTATGCAATCTCACCTGTACTTTCCTAGCTATCAGTAATGTTTTCTCCTGGATTTTCTTCTCAGCAACCCGATAGCAGAAGGGTCAACTCTTCTGTTGGATTTTCTGTTTTGCAGCATACAAGCAATGACCCATATTGCTTTGTGGAATTTTATGAACACAGAGATGCAGCTGCTGCATTAGCTGCTATGAATGGGAGAAAAATTTTGGGAAAGGTAAGATAACAGAATGATGGCACCTGATGAGTGTTGTGTGTGCATGTCAAGTGGTATTCTTTCTTAGCAAGTTGCTAAATATTCAGCTCTGCTGAGTGATCGTTTGGCTTTATTCAGCCTAGTGCTTTTACAAAAATTATCCTGCTTATTAAGTGATTTGATAAGTGGTAAGTGTTATGATTCATAATGACGTGTCTAATAATTGTATTAAATATAATCTTTATTTTTAGGAGGTCAAAGTAAACTGGGCCACAACACCAAGTAGCCAGAAAAAAGATACTTCTAGTAAGTACGCTTGCTGCATTTTACTGTGAAGAGTTCTGAAATTACCCCGGCAGCATTACCAGCTTCCATAGGGCTCTTCTCCCCGTAGTGTCGCCTATAAACGGTTTAGTGCTGATTTCTTCAGTGTTTGACACCAAATGCTTTGGTTTCAGATCACTTCCATGTGTTTGTCGGGGATTTGAGTCCAGAAATTACAACAGAAGATATCAAATCAGCATTTGCCCCCTTCGGTAAAATATCGTAAGTATCATAATCAATACTATACTCAGTAGTGATAGGCAAAACTGCATATGATTAATTTGTATCAGAATTAAGCTTTTCTTTCCCTAGTTAGTGTGATTTTTTTTGTTTGTTTTGTTGTTTTGATTAGTAGTTGTTGAAAATGTTAATGTCATTTTAATGTTTGGGGTCTTGTTTTCATCTAATCCTGTGTATAATCTGTTAAAATTTTTTAAGTGATTGTTATCTTTGAAGCAGTTGTTTGGGTGGTAAAACCTATTATAAAGTCCAAGTTTTTGTCAAATGTTTTCAACATTTGGTGGTTAAAGAAAAGTGGGTTAATCAAAAAGAAATGATTTATACTGTGTATTGAACTTTTACAAGAGTTTATAAATGAGGGCAAGTAGATAAATCCAGGGGTATATTGTGGTTAAATTGGAAATGTGCATGTTTAATTATAAAGATAAATGTGTTTTGATATTTTAGTTGAAAAGTAGTATATTATATTAAAATGTTTCAATGTCTGAGCCATAAATGTGGGATTAATAGCTTTTTTTTTTTTTTTTTGGTTAGTGCTATTTTAATCTGCTAGTTTAGGGCCCAAATGTGGTTTGATTTTTAACAAAGTTTATGCTCAAATTTCACTGTATGTTACTTGATCAGATATATTGGGAAATTAGAAGTGGTTACAAGTTCTATAACATGTTTATCGTAATTTATCTTCTGATTAAGAATGATTTTATGTATTTATTTCCTATAGAAATGTTTAAATATTACGAAAATTTAGAAATTAAATGTTTCAGTATTACTTTACAGGAATATGTCTCAACTAAGAACAACAATATTTTTCTGTATACAATTTGTTGTTCTATAGATTTAATTTATTTGAAAGAAAGGTTTAATTCTTAATTTTCTATTTTGATATTTGCTTTGCTTTTTAATCTCTAAATGTGGTAAGTAGTACTGTTTTAAAAATCAGTGTAAAAAATAATACAGGTTGCTGTTTTTCAATCTTTATTTATACCTGAGACCTGCAGTTTTTTTAAAGTCCAAGTCACAATTAAAAGTAATAGCATTCTGGTTATTTTGCAGAATTGCTCATAAGAATGGACAGGATCTTGAAGGCTAACTGCAAGGAACTGTGCACACTGGAACTCAGTTGTAGATTTTTTTCTCATTTCTATTTATTCTTATTATACATTATTTATATATACATATTTTAGTATTTACATTTTAACATTCTATATTCAGTGGAGTTCTATATTTCCAATCATTTTAACTTACTCACTAAAATTTCTGTGTAAATTTGTTGTTTTCGTACTGGTGTGCTTAGCATTGTTGTTAGTTTTTTATTCTCCTTTCTTAAATTTCTGAAAATGTCAATTTTTCAAAATTTACAGCTGCCCAAACTCCAAAATGATGATAGAGAATTGACCAAGAAAAATAAAGAAATCTGTTAACAGGCCATGTATGCCTTTTTAATTCCTATTTTTTCCTCTTTTTCAATTTTTTAATATTTCATATATTTTGTATCACTAGGCAGAAGACATTTAACTATTTAGAGTTTGCATGGTAAAGTAGTTAGCATTGTTACAGTAATTTATAGAATCAGTAAACCTTAGCAGACACTAGCCAATAGAATATTAGAAAAGGAAACTATTGTTCCTATTAATCTTCAAATTTGAGCATTTAGATTAGAAAGCACAGGCTATTTGATTAGGTTGCATGTTTATTACATGTTTTTGTCCTACTGCTTTTTTCTAACAGGTAAAGAAGCGTAGGGAGAGTACAGGAATGGCTATAGTTAATTAGGGCTAACTGAAATTTTATTTAAAAACATGCTCACAATACAGTGTGTGTGGTTCCTTTTAGTTTTTATTTTGAGGATAACTCTTACTTCCCTCATTTAGCTGTGCTTCTTTTCACAGGGATGCCCGAGTAGTTAAAGACATGGCAACTGGAAAATCCAAAGGCTATGGTTTTGTATCTTTTTATAACAAACTGGTAGGTTCTTTCAGCTCTATTTAAATTTAACACAAGGTTTAGTTATAAATTCATTTAAAACTTGAGTATTTTCAGATGTTAACTGCAAACACAGCCTTTATGTAATTCTGTGTGTTGTAATAATAGAGGATAGTACATTGTTTTTTTCATAAGCTTGGAAATAAATAGCTGGGGAAAGATAGGCCAATTATAAGGAGTAGTATTAAAGTTGCACGTGTGCATTGGTGAAGGTAAGCAGTGTGTTAGAAGGAAAGCTCAAGACTAGGACAAATGAGCCAGTCTGAGAATTTGGAGGTAAGTTGAATTATATTTAGTTTTAACCATGAAAATCTCAGTTTTCACTTTGTAATTATTATTCATACTTTTGTAGCTGGGTTAGTAATGACTACAGCAAATTATATAAATGAAAATTTAAGCAATTCATCTTGAATTTTGCATGTATTCTTTAAGAAAGAGGCACAAAAGTATCTAAGAATTTGCATTAACTATGATATCAAATAATAAAGTGGGCTTTGGTATTAGCATTTTAGAATAGTTGCAGCAACTTAAATTATACCTACATTTTATTGAAGCAGTAAGATAAAGGGCAGGAGTTGTATTCTTGCGTAGATTCATTGCAAATTCACATTAATTGTGAGAATCTAAACTTTTTTTTTTTTTTTTTTTTTTTTTAGCTGAGCCATCCCGCCACCTGTTGGCAGCTCACGGCTGCTCAGCTCGGGCTGACTCGAACCACTGTTGCTCAGAGCTCAAACTCTTGAGCGAGCTCTTAACCAACTGAGCCACTCACCCGGCCCTTAAACTTATTTTTTATTGGTGGCAGCCATTTAAAAGCATTCTACAACAATGCAGAAGTCTTCTTTCTTAAAATGAGTTTTTAATCTTGTATCATAGTTATAATCCATTGTTCTAGAATGTAGATTTTTGGGGGTTAGGTGACTTAGAAACATTAGAGTTTTAATATATTCTTCAGTAAAAGTTATATTACAAATCACTCATAAAATTAAGATACTTGGAAACAACTTCGTCTTATAGGATTTCTACTTTCCTGGTTCTTTTGGTAGTGGAGTTGTGAATGTTCCTTGCATATTTGAGTTATAATAAATTTCCCTTAATGCTTAAATGCTATTGTGGTGTTTTGAAATCTGTAGATTGTAATAGCTTTTATGGATTGCTCAAATCAAATCATTTTCTTTTGATACTAGTGCAGTTTTGTTTGTTTAGGATGCTTAGTGAGTTCCATTTACCGATAAGATTTATTGGATCCAGCAGTGTCAGCATGTTATCATACCTTGCTGGGTCTTACATACTACCATTTCCTGTGTTCGTAATTGCTCGTTCTTTCTCTTTTCTCTCCATAGGATGCAGAAAATGCAATTGTGCATATGGGAGGCCAGTGGTTGGGTGGCCGTCAGATCAGAACCAACTGGGCCACACGTAAACCACCTGCACCTAAAAGCACACAAGAAAGTAAGATGGGCCTACTGTGTGCATTAAAATTAGGGACACGCCACAAAATCATGTGCTAGCATAGTCTCAGTTTCTTAAAATTTTATTAGCATGGCAAGACTCAATTCATCGTGAATTTAATTGTCAAAAAATAATTGTGCTTTGATATAAGTGTATTTGGAGCTGCGAACCAGCTGATTTTATAGAGCATATCATGGTGTCAAGAAAAGAAATTCTGTTTTCTCCCCTAAATGAGGCATATCTTCAATAATATGTAGTAATCAGTTTTATAACACTGTACAGCTGTCAACGTTTTGTTTTCTTTCTGCATATAGATAACACTAAGCAGTTGAGATTTGAAGACGTAGTAAACCAGTCAAGTCCAAAAAATTGTACTGTGTACTGTGGAGGAATTGCTTCTGGGTTAACAGGTACAGTGTTCGGTTTTCTAACCCCCTTCTCTGTGGAGCCTCATCACTATTCGTACCAATTTCATGATAAACATGAGCCTTAAAACAAACATCCGTATGTTTTTGTTTTTCAGATCAGCTTATGAGACAGACATTCTCACCATTTGGACAAATCATGGAAATAAGAGTTTTTCCAGAGAAGGGCTATTCATTTGTCAGGTAAAATTCTACCTGTGATGTTATTACTCTTATGTTTGATCCATTCCTGTCAGATATATTATTTGATCCCCTCAGGTATCAGAGTTTGTTATTTTAGTACTTCTTTGCAACATACAACTTTAAACTACCTATTGGGTTGTCGGAAAAGTCATGACGCATCTTTGCAATGGAAAACAAAAAATACGTCATGACTATTCTGACAACCCAATACATGGTGTACCTTAGGACGCCAATACCAAGTTGACAGTTATAAACAAAAGAATCCCTGTATTATCTACTGTGTTAAGTTTCTTTAAAAACAAAACAAAAAACTCATTATCTTCCCCTCAGATTTTCAACCCACGAAAGTGCAGCCCATGCCATTGTTTCGGTGAATGGTACTACGATTGAAGGACATGTTGTTAAATGCTATTGGGGTAAAGAATCTCCTGATATGACTAAAAATTTCCAACAGGTAATTCCATTTTTCATAGCACTTTTTAAGGTTTCCATCTTACATATCTACATAAAAGCTTTAGAAACTGTAAAATAAACAACAACAAAAAGCAGATAGCTGCTTTCAGTTGATTTTATTAATGCTATTTCAAAAGTGATTATTTTGCGGTATTAACTGAATCTTAATACTTTCTTTTCACAGGTGTCACCACCCCAATAAACTTAGACAATGATAAATAACAGAGTCCTATTCACATAAGGGTGCTTACTTAGTTTTTCTCTTCCTTGTGTCCCACTTTCTTCAAATACTGTGTTTCTTACTTGTTCCCTAAAAGAGTACCTTACTTTTTCCTAGGTCGACTATAGTCAGTGGGGCCAGTGGAGCCAAGTCTATGGAAACCCACAGCAGTATGGACAGTATATGGCAAATGGATGGCAAGTACCGCCTTACGGAGTATACGGGCAACCATGGAACCAACAAGGATTTGGAGTAGAGTAAGTTTGTGTTTTTCTAGTACAGAAACAGATACGGTTCTGACAAAAGAAATAAAAAAGTGTGTTTTCCTAGAGAGAATCTATTTAAATTACATACCTTGAACTATTTGGAATTATAAACATTTTAGAAAGCTTATGAAAAGTGATTTATGATACTAAAATTTTGCTTTTTATTACCTCGGTGAAAAGGAAGGTTGGGGTAACTTTTGGTGTGTCCTACTACCTCTGTAAGCAGTTGGTAGCATGTGATTTACATTTTTAATGCATTATCTTATCTACTTGTTTAGTTTTGCATGGAAAAGATAACTTGGTCTAGACGTGTTCAGAAATTTAATGATTTATGTCTGTTGACTTGTGTGAGAAGTCTCAGATTTATCTGATACAAAATAGCTTGCTTTTTTTCCCTTGTACTTTTTTCCCCCTAGGCTACCCCAGACCCTTATTTTCACTCCTCCTTCCTTCTTTTTCCAAGATGAACTTGTGTTTCTAAATTTCTTGTAAATTCGTATACCATGTGCAATATGTGATGGTGTGTTGAATCATTTGTCATGTTTTAGAAATTAGTTTTGAGATACTCTTCAGAGGAGTCATTGTGTTAAGTCGCTATCACAAAAATTGAAGACTAATATTGGAATATATATTCTACATATGTGTCTGTGTATCTATTTCTTTGCTCTTTGTTGTAGGTTTGTTGATTTCTCACTGTCTGTGATTAGGCTCTGCTTGATTTTTGTAGGAATGTATAGATAATGTTTCCTTTGTGTTTACTAAAGGTTTTATTTATTTCTTCAGTCAATCACCTTCTGCTGCTTGGATGGGTGGATTTGGTGCTCAGCCTCCCCAAGGACAAGCTCCTCCCCCTGTAATACCTCCTCCTAACCAAGCTGGATATGGTATGGCAAGTTACCAAACACAGTGAGCTGGGACTCGAAACAATTGTAATTCATGAATGCTTCAGTTTCCTGTGACATTCTGAAGACATGGAAGTAGACATCGGAAAATGAAAATATTTATTTTAAAAATTGAAATGTTTGGAACCTTTAGCACAGCTTTGCTTTGGTGAAGGACACATGTCTTCTAGTTCTGCCTTTTTAAGTTTTTGTTCATGATGGATATGAACATGATTTTTCTTTGTGTACAAAAACTAAAATAAAGTCAATAAAGACAATTCTGACTACCAATTTTGATATAATAGGAGAAATGGGTAATACATTTTGATTCTTAGATACTATTCCATTTTTATCTTGCTGTTCAGTATTTTAACTCACTGTGTTTTTAAAAGAGCAAAAAAAGGGAGGATCGTGAAAAACTGGGAATCACATATAAGTTCATCCTGAACCTTGATACTCCCCTCCCCTCCCCCTGAGGTGGACCACATTTGAAGTCAGCAGAAAAAAGTGTGATTCTGAGAAGAAATGCATGGTTTTGGAGTCGCTTTGGAGGAAGTATTTACTCTATGCCTAAAGAAACTGACGCCAGACTGATAAAGAAATTTTGCGACCTAAATAAGGAACAGCATTGTCTGAGTTACCTGAGCAAATGGTGGTGGTCCACATTAAGACATATTTTTAAAACTTTCAAAAGTGTTATTAAAACTGTAGTAAATTACATTTCATTTTAGGGGGCAAATGCCAAGTATGGTGTTTGTATTCAAGTCAGACAGTCATACTTGTGCTTTTACATGAAGTTTAAATGATACACATTGTAAATATTAAGTAACTACAGTGTTTCAAAAGCATGCTTCATCATAGAAGTAGCAACAGTGTAATTATTTGAAGTAACACTTAACACCACTGCATTGAATGCAATGGACTGATAATATTTAAGACTGACATTTCCGGGTTGGCTACTATGTAAAAGTAAAACCACACAAATTACTATACAGAAGAAGCCTTAATTTTAATTTCATACAAATCTTTGATGCATTAGTACATTTTAAAATGTCATTGGAAATTAGATTTTTTTTCCCTTTGTTTTCCTTTATATCACTTGGTATGTAAAATACCTTGATCAAAACCTTGTAAGCCTATTTCAAGGTTCCTATAAGTTGTATAGTACAAGTGTTTTTTTTAAATCTTGAGGTGTTTTTAAAAATCAAATATATTTTGCCCAAGAATTTTTTTAACAAGATTGCTAAAACATCTTATTTAAGACAGTTCAATCTACCAATTTATAATTGGATATTCAGCTTAAATAGCACATGGAGTTGTGACTTTTATTGTTCATTTGTCTTGTGTGGGTATTGTGCATGGGATGACAAGCCTGAACAGAGGCTGAGTTGTATGAGTGCAGACTAAATGAATCAATTGGGTAGATGTATCAAATGAAGTTTACTTCTGAAGTATTTTTCAGCCTATGTGGATAAAATCTGTCTCAAATTTTTATCATAACAGGTATGCAGAAGAGATCAAATTCTATGTATTTTAATTCTGACAGCTAGGGGGTGCAAATGTTCAGGCAGTGTATTTAAAATGTCTTGAGGCCTGGGCACCAAGATGAGAGCACCCTTTATAGTTAAGTAGTAAGTTACAACTAACACCCAACAGATGACTATTTTTTACACTTTTGAAGTCTTACAATTAGCTTTGAAATAATGATGGTTTTATAAATTGATGACCACAATACTTTTGGTATTATTTTCCTTCTTCCCCTGTTTAGAAATACAGCCAAATGTTACCAAACCTGAAGATTCACAGGGTCTGAAGTTCTTCATCTTTGGGCCAAATTTTTATGGCACTTTAGTTTTAACCACAGGACTTGTCTATTATAAAATTTACCCTTATTTCTTTTGTTCATGGTTAGTGTCTTTGGGGATATTACGAAAAAGTTACTTTATATTTTATAAGGAGAACACTCAAATTATTATCAGTTATGCCTCCTAGTTAAACATTTCTTGAATATATGTGAAACTTGAACAACTAAAGACTTTTTTTAATATATTGATAAAAGCCTATTAAATTCTCAGTTTGCCTTTTTTTGGTCCGCCAGTAAATTAAGTAGCTTATTGCGATAACAGCTAAATAAAGCTGCAGTGTTTCCTAGTTGTATATTCTATGACTTAATAAAATCGTCAGGACTGGTTCTATTGCCATAGTAAACATGACTGAAGTGTCCTTCGTCTTAATCTGAAAGAACAGGATTTCATGATCAGGTCAGTTACTGGAAGTTATTTCGTATAAAATGGTTTTTTAAATATAAAAGCTACTTATCCAAATGAAATGCACCGTGTTAGAAGACAACTGTCAAGCTAACACAGACTCGAAATTATTTTATAGCCAAGTGAAGTCAGTGCTATCTTGATCAATTTCAGCCTAAGAATTGTTGCCTTTTCCATGTTCATTACAAACAGCAGAGATTCTTCGATGTGCAACAAATGTTCTTATTTCATAATTATTTTGAGATTTATTTTGGTGATGTGTTTTTTGACTGCCATCTTCTTTGCCCTAATAATCTGGTATTTCCTCCCCCCCCCCACCACCATGCCATTCCCACTGGATTTTTATGTCTACTGGCAGTGAGAGGCTAAAATGACTGGCCAACGTAAGCCAAAGCTGTAAACCACAGTTGAAGTAAGTCTTTCAATAAAGACTAGACTATGAGAAGTGGCCTTTACTTATTGTCATTTATTACATAATGATTCCTTCCGGGCTGCCAGGAAATAAGCAATTTTGTTTTAAGTTATTAGTAAAGTATGTAGCGTATTCATATATTAGGATCTATTTCTGTGTTCCGTATAAGTGTTAGAAGTCCATTAGCTTTGTTGAATTAAAATTTGATTTCTCTGGGGTGGTCGGTTAGCTCAATTGGTTAGAGCATGGTGCTGATAACACCATCCAGACACTTTTCCAGCAGGTATGCCCAAATTAAATCTTACCTATGATTTAAAAGTCAGCATTTGGGCTTCCACTTACTATATTATACATATTGACTTTGTGTTTTTAGTATGTATTGGAAAGATGCAAAAATGACTTAACTTTTACTAGTTTATGTTAAGCTGCCTCACAAGTGGTTCAAATGAGTGGGTTTTGTTAAATATGAATTCTGCTATTGTGTAGTAATAAAATGTCCTACTTAATTGTGTTCAAATAAGTTACCATGAATTAGATTGCCATCTACGCCATTTTTAAACATGGAGATAATGTGAATAATTACGCCTTAAAAAAACGTGTTATTCCAAATTGTAGATGTGGTATTTAAATGCCATATTAATATGAAATGGGCTACTTAAATTGGATCTATTTTGAAAATTAGTGCAGATAGGCTAGGAACTGTAATTCACAAGGTACTTTGTGTAAATACCTTAGGGACAAGAATGACTTCCTTTTAGAATTGCCTAAATGTGAAGGAAGTTCAATTTTTATATAGAAAACAGAGGAGGGGGAAATATATGAGTTTTTTAAGTCTTAGGACAAAAGGGAGGGGGCACTAATAGTTATTGACTCTTTTGTCAAGTTGCACTTTTGTTGGAAGAGGGGGCAAGCCATATAACAGCTTGGTTTTTAAATGATTGTCAATTAGTAACAGTTGACAAAAGGTATGTATCTAATAAATGATTTCCTGAATGTTCTGATGTTCCAGTTCAGTTGTAATACATAAGTTAAAGTTGCACTTTTCCAAATTATTGCTTTTTTTTTTTTTTTTGAAATTCACTAGCCATTGTTTCTCTGAGCTGTTCCTCTGGGAAGGTGATGCACATCTAAGATCTGGAAGCCGAAACTGAGGTGTGTTAGATAGCTGTTAGAGGAAAGCCAGAATAACTGGTGGAAAGTCATCTCTGTCCAGTCGCTGACTTTGCAGCTGGGCCTAGCTTGCCTGTGGACCTCCCATTTTGACTCTGTTCCTGTGGACCGACAGGAGTTTGCAGGTGGTACTTTGAAGTAAACCAAGTTTTGCTATATGCCATAATTGTCCTACTGTGATTTTTTGGTTTTCTGTTCCTGTATCTTTCTCCCTTGGGGTTTTGGTATCAAGAGATGTCAGAAACCATCTAGAGCAGCGGTTCTCAACCTTCCTAATGCTGTGACCCCGTAATACAGTTCCTCATGTTGTGGTGACCCCCAACCTTAAAATTATTTTCGTTGCTACTCTATAACTGTGATTTTGCTACTGTTATGAAGCATAATGAAAATATCTTTTTTGTTTCCCAATGGTCTTAGGTGACCCCTGCGAAAGGGTCATTCGACCCCCAAAGAGGTCTCAACCCACAGGTTGAGAACCGCTGAAAAAGGGTTTGAAATATGTAGCCATATGCAGCCAGGCCTGTTCTGAGAATTGACACTAACACTATAAATTTCAGATTTTCACAGTTCATTTGACTGGGTTAAAGAGTTATGAATTGGGGCCAGCCAAGTGGCACGTAGGTAAAGAGCTGGCTTGGGACGCCAGCTCTGAGCAGCAGGACCCTGGTTCAGATCCCACATGAGGGCCAGTGACGCTGTGCCCTCTACAGCTAAGATGGTGAACAACAGCTTGACATGGAGCTGGGCTGCTGTGAGGCGACGGCAACTGTGTAGGCTGCAGACCCTGCTGCAGTGGGCTGCCATGAGCTACTGTGAGTGGCTGTCGCCCGGTGTGAGCTGCCAAGAGCCGCTGTGAGCGGCCATCCAGTGGCCGGCGACGTATCTGACCCACCAGGGAAAAGCACAATGATAATACCAACATGGGCCAGTGAAGCGACGTCCTCCGCAACTAGACTGAAGAACAAAAGGACAGCAACTTGTCTGTTCCCCTTCCCCGATTCCCCAGCGCTGTTGCCCTCCCCCAATTCCCCAATAAAATCTTTTTTAAAAAATTATGAATTGTTCAACTCGTATGAGTTGAATGTGATTTATGATTACTATTGCTCACAAAAATTAAGCTACTTCATAAGCCTTAACATAGCTAAACAAAATTGAGAATGCCCATGTAATAATTTCAGTTTGCTTCATTTTGAAAAGGACTAAACTTGCAAAACCATGTTTAGCTAATTTCCTTTGGCGGGGTTGTAGGTTAGCATATGGCCCAGCTCATACCTGGTTATTTAATGATGATGTGCGTTTGGAAAGGAGTGGTGTGACTAGGATAATGAAGGGGAAAGTCCTTGATTCAGAAGAGAGTTGACAGACTAGGCATCCATCCCTAGGCGGGTGCAGTAAACCATGTGCGATATTAATCAGGGATTAGGTGTTGACATTTAATAGGCTATTAGTTTCAGACTGTGCACATTTCATCAAGAAGACTGGGAGATTTACCAGGGTATTGAAAATACTACCAACACCTTTGTCTTATATATTGGGGCTGATCATTTTTATTCGGTTGCCTTTAAGGCATGTTTTTATTAACGTCTCTACCTGTGTGTGAGGATGTTGGGCAAATGCTGCTGTTTTAAAATACTGCTTTTGAGCATTTTCAGTAAAATGATGGGATTAGGATATCCTTTAGAATCTATAGTTTGTTAAGACCAGGAATCTATTTTATTTTTTAAAATGGGTGACCTCATTCCTGGGTTGCTTTGCTATTTTTATGTTTTGAGTTATGTCAGTGTCTCTCCATGAGAATGTGAGCTCCGTGGGGCAGGGACTTTCTCTTGCTAAACACACGAGCCCTAGGACTTACTTTAACAATACTGGGCTCCTGACAGATGTTCAATAAATGCTGAATGCATGACTGTGCTTGACGAAGTGAAGGTCAACGTGTATTTTAGTTTCAAAACCAGAACACTTGATGTTTTACTTAAATGTGGTGTGATCAGAGTCAAATGGGTGCTTGTTAAAATGCAGATTCTGAGGCTAGTTGTGGTTGAAGGTAATCTGAAACAAGATTAGTTGGCATGGGTTCCTTTTTCCCTCTTTAGCTCTTGTCAGGAAGAAAACCACATTGGCCGTGGTCACACATTTTCCAGAAAAACAGGTTTTTTGGAGTTCTTGATCTGTGATTGCTACCCAGTATAGTTTGTCAAGCATCTTTCAAAGGACTGGGCTGTACTCCTAATGGTAATCTAGCTGGGCGTACCCGATAGGAATCATCGCCGTCTTCAAGAAAGTGAGTGATACTGGGCCAGGTGCTGGATAGTTTGGGGGGAGGGTGTATTGTTTTAGGAAGAGGGGTTACCAGCAAAGCAGGATTGGGTTCCTGGACAGGCAATCAAGTATAACAGACTACTTGCATGCCCCCTTTCATCCCCTCTCTACCATTGTCAGCTGTCACTGCGTTTACTGTGAATGGGCCCTTACTCATCTCCCTGATGAACTAGAATAGGACAGGTGTCCAAAGGAAAGAAAGAGTAGAAATCTAAAATTAAGAAAAAGATCTTGACGTTAAAACTTTTTTTTAGGTTCTGGGAGCAATGATCTAGTCAACTATATGCATTTTTAAGTATTTGAAAAATTTTAGACAATCATTTCCAGTTTTCAGTAACTTAAACGGAAAACTTTACTGTGGATATAACTTTACTATTAAAAAAATACACACACACACACACACACACACACACACACGGTGCCAAAAAAATGTATACACATTTTAAGAAAGGAAAAAAATATTAAAATTGTAATAATATATACCGATAATGAAAGATGAATACAAGTCACATTTGACTTCTGCAATTATAAGAGGTGCTCAAAGTGATTACCATCAACGTCCAGACACTTCTGATTATGGCAAACTATTACTCTATTGCTTGAGCAACATTGACCAAAGTGTCCACTTGTTTACATTTTTCTTGGCACCCCCGGTATATTCGTGTATTTATCCAAAAGAAAAAACAAACCAGAAAATAATAAATATTGGCGAGGATATGGAGAAAATAGAACACTTGTTCGTGGGATTGTTAAATGGTGTTATTTTGAAAAACAATATGGAGGCTCTTCAAAAAATTAAAAATAGAATTACCACATGATCCAGCAACAATTGCACTTCTGGATATATATCCAAAAGAACTGAAAGCAGATACTCGAAGACATGCTTGTACACTAGTCACAATAGCCAAGAGGTGGAAGCAACTCCAATGTCCATTGGCAGACTAATAGATAAAGTATATTCACACAATGGAATATTATTCAGCCTCAAAAGGAAGGAAATTCTGACCCCTGCCACAACTTGGATGAACCTTGAAAACATCATGCTAAGTGGAATAAGCCAGTCACAAATGCCAAATGCCATATGATT